TCTACCCTGATCCCTCTTAGCTCATTTGCCACATCTCAGTGACCACTGCGCCGGCTGCGGTCCATCCGCGATGAGCTCCACATAGGAACACCTCTTCTGCGCCGTGAGTGGACGCACAAAGTGGTGCACCACATCGTACCTCACGACGACAGAAACGGCACGACTCGTGCACAGCAAGCAACCGCTGTTAACTCACTGGTCAGTTTAAGAATTAAGAGTCGGTGAGTCAACACCTGCTCCGGGATGCCAAATACTCGACGTTCTCGTTGCTTTTTAGCAATTGAGATCTGTTCAGAACTGATAGATAATCGGCTTCCGCCAAGGATCTTGGCCACACTGACCTATGACCAGCTGTTGTTGGATGCTCTTTCCAAACTATCTCCAACTACGCAGCAGCAGGTTGGTTGAGGTGACAAGGCCGACGGTCACACGTGTCCCATCGTTCCCTGGTGCTTTGCAAAGAAGAATTGTTTTATTATGTTTTATTGCATCCTTGTCAAGTGCAAAGTACATCAAAGTACAGCTGGATGACCCCCCCAACCCCCGAAAACCAGGACCTCATGCCAGACAAATCACCTCATCCATGTTCAGCATCCTTCAAGTTGCGGATCTATCTTCATTCCGACCGTGGTCCCCAATGGTGTCTCCACAGTGGTGACCATCCGAGGCGAGGTGCAAGTTGCACTTGGGCGAGCTGAGGCGCCCAGGACTGCGAGAGGGGACGTGGCGGCCGGTCGCGGAGGGTGTTCAGGGAGCGAGCTGGGGCGGGGAGCTGGGAGGTTGGGGAACGGGTCGCGGACCAATTCCTGCGACCGTTGACTCAACAGGAAGCCGGTGGAATGATGTTTTTTCCCCCTAATAGTAGACATCTGTAGACCTATATTGATAACCTGAGTGACCTCTAGTTTGGATCACCTACCACCGCCAAATAATATGGCAATATCCAATCCATTGGCGAAAGCAGCCAAACATGCCCATTCCCGTTTCTCTGGCCGTTTCACATCTCACAGTTATCATTTCACAAACTCCCACTCCAAATCCTTTCAATCTGACTGACTCAACCCACGCTCTCGGCGCCAAGCTACTCAAAAAAACCCTCGCAGGAGCTCTCTATCCGCCCTATCTCTCCTCCCTCCCTGTCCCTGGACCGGACCCCCAAATCGTCGCGCACCTGGACGGGCCGGTGGACAGGAGCGTGTCGCGCGCCAGGCGCAGCTTGATGGTCATCATCAAGTCCTCCATCGGCGCGGTCCCGCGGGCCCGGGTCCCAGGTCGGCGGTGCGGCCAGCGAGGCGAGAAGGCGAGGGAGGGAAGGCGAGAAGGTTGAAGAAACAGGTCATGAACAACGCACAGTAGGTGATTGAATGAAGATATGACTGGAGCCTAACAAAAAGGTCATTCCAAGCCGGGTGGCAGTGGTACACATCACCCTCTCAAAGGGTGGCAATAGATCGATTTAGGGTAAATTTGCGGTTAAAAGGCAAGTGAGTCACTGAGTGAGTAGGATGTGGGGATGGTCTGGGCATGAGTCAGCCATGCGTCCCCTAAAGCACTCCCACCTACGAGTGACCAAGGGATCCAGAAATCCCAAGGAAAAGGGGTGAGGTTCGAAAGGAGGGCCCCTGGTTTCTTCTACTGGTAGTATATACTGTAAGTGGTAACATGCGGTGACAGTCACAGTGGTAACTGGGTTCCAGTGGGTATGGTATCTATATATAGTACAACTGATGCCCTCTATAATACACGTGAATCCCTGCAGCATTGAAAGCAAACAACGCCAACGGGAATTGAAAAACCAGGTGCTTTTTCACTGCTTAAGTTTTGCTCGCGCTGAAGTGGTCAAATTGGGTCACCGGTGGTCACCGAGATTGAGAGCCCTCGGCTAGACAATCACATTCATATCATACAGTGTTTGAGATTCTTTCCTCTGGTTTCCTGATAATTTAACAATTTCAAACACACCCAGAAAACATAAGTAAACCAGAATTCTGAAACATGCATGCGCATGCTTTTGTTCTGCTTGCTCAAAGGCTGGGTCTGTTCTACCTTCGGCATCCAACCAAACTGACACATTCAAGACCTCAAAAAGCAGGTATCTCGGGTGTTGAGGAAAGAAGTACCACCTGAAACAAATCCAGGGAAGACCAGTCCTTTTGCGATATTCAATGATCTTCACTGCGGTGTCATCTACTTCATAGTTCATGAAACCACTGATCGGTTGCTTAACTACCCTCCTATCACTACTGTCCACAGCCGAGGATCTTGCAGCTGTGGCAGCAAAATTGCACGCTCTTCCACGCTCAAAGAGAGCGACGGGGCCGCAGGGGCCGCAGGTGCCGCAGGGGCCGCAGGGGCCGCAGGGGCCGCAGGGGCCGCAGGGGCCGCAGG